TGCAACTCTGGCACCAAACTGACCGCCGTTGTTTTCAATGTTCCAGAGTTTTCACAGCAGACATGAAGCTGATGAGTCAGCGAGGATGCAACTCTGTCACCAAACTGACTGCCATTGTCTTCAATGTTCCAGAGTTTTCACAGCAGACATGAAGCTGATGAGTCAGCGAGGATACAACTCTGTCACCAAACTGACTGCCGTTGTCTTCAGTGTTCCAGAGTTTTCACAGCAGACATGAAGCTGATGAGTCAGCGAGGATACAACTCTGTCACCAAATTGACTGCCGTTGCCTTCAATGTTCCAGAGTTTCACATGCTTGCAGTCCGATTTGTAGTGGAGGTCCTATTGGTGGAACTTTAATTTTTAGCGTTGTTTTAATGCCACTTAAAGCTAACGTGTGTCGTGGTGAATGTCGAAGTTGGTCTCCCATCACTGCTTAAACGCTCGTTACGACCTAGAGATTTTGCTCCTATGAGTTCAGAGCTTTTATGCCGAGTAGCGCGAACATTTTCGTATGTTGACAATGCTTGATGTATCAATTCAGGCGTATGTCCACGCGTCGAGTCCGGTCAATATAGCCAATGTTTACACTATAATATGGCTTAGCCAGAACCTCTTTGATATATTGAAGCGTCAATAACTCAGCATAAGAACTCGGAGCACATCGTGCGGAAAAACCAGGAGCTGAAACCCTTTCCGTCTTATGAGTAAATATTTTGTACGCGCTCTATTTCAACTGAGTCTTTCCATGTCAGCTTGTTTTATTTTGGTTAGAAAGCACCGGCAGGCAGCATGTCAGTTTAAAGGTGCCGAACATGGGTGTCAAACGTAGCCTAGGTAGTTGGTGTGTTATGGTTGATACAACACCCGTATATTGTATTGCAGTTCATTTTCGCCGCCGTCCTGGCCGTGGCTGTCGCTGCTCCGTCTGACCTCTCCTACGAGCGTGACATCATCGAGATCCTCAGACAGAACATCGACCACCACGACGGTCACTCCTATCAGCAGCCGTAAGCTAACATAGCTTAAATATATTTCAAGATTCCATGCGCAGTCATGCGTGCACTCACGGGTACTCGCAGTGTCCAAAAACGCTCAAACCTGGTACTGACGTGAATGGAAGGAAACGGATGAATGGAATACGGTGCGTGATAGCGTACACGCTTATGTACTAGCACCCGACACTCAACCACCTGCACGAACAGGACGGTCGGGTAAAGTCATCGATGAAAGATATGATCATGCGCAATAATACAGTAACATGCATTGGCGAAAGCACGTTACGCGCTTTAAATATCTTGCTCAAGAGTGCAAGCACGTGGAGGATCACGGACATTGGTGTGGTAAGTTTTCAAGAGCATTGCATGTTTTCAAGCGTGTTGTATCTTCAGACGGCATACAGATTCGTTACAACAGGACCTTCAAAACTTTTTCCAGTATCGAGACCGAAAACGGCATCTCAGTGTCGGAGTCTGGCCAGACGGAGGATGACGACAGCTACAGCATGAGCGGCCAGTTCAGCTACGTGGCCCCCGACGGCGTCACCTACACCGTGCTGTACTCGGCCGGCGAGGGCGGCTTCCAGCCGCAGGGAGACCACCTGCCCACCCCCGCGCCCACCGAGTATCCGACCCCCGAGGTGTCCGATGGCGACGATGACGAGGAGACCTACGAGGCTCCTGCTGTAGAGGAGGAGGAGGAGGTCTGTGCTGCTTTCGAGCCCCAGTATGAGCACGTCATTGTCGGCTACAGGTCTCGCTACAACTAGGGTCGCCTTCATGACGGCGGTAATCAGTATTTCGCGTCATCTCTGTGTTGGAAACCGTTTTACGTAACAAAATCTCCTCTGTGTCGTCTTATATATGTTTGTACCGAAATTATTTGGTAGTTATGATTGTCTCGCTCCTTTGTTATGCAGTGCTTTCATGTGTAGAATATACAATTCTGACAAATATCTGCCCATGGCTGGAGACTACCGCCGAAGCTGTTTGCCTCGCAAAACTGTTACATTTCACCCCGATTGATCGAGTGGGCTGGCTTCCAAGTTCAAAGGATGGTACGTCAGGCTTTCACGGGTCAGACGCTCTAATACATTCTAAAACCGCTTTACGAACTTGAAGTGATCACATATGAGCCAGAATAAGTAAGAACCGAATGCACCGAGGTGGCATGTAGACATTGAATAACTGTTTTTTTCTTAAGATATGCAAAGTTAAAGTCTCAATGACAAATTTGGTCATCTCAGGCCAGGTCAGACGATAAGGGAAGTGTAACGAAGAATAGGTTATGTAATGCAGGGTCGCTTATCCAATGGCAGAGGCGGCTCCACCAGCAGCACGGGGTCAGCCGAAATCTAACCATTGGTCAAGAGACCAAACTGCTTCTGTGCCCAGCTTTTCAGGAGATTGCGTCACGCCGGCATTATGGTATTGGATACATATTGGGCAGAACCCATAATACACGGCTTATTAACACCTTGGTTTTATCAAGATATTGGTCAAAGAATTATCTGGATGAGCACACGGCTTTTAAGATTTCCATAAAACAGAACTGGACCTTGAGTAAAGAAGTTGGCAACAAAGGGCGCATTGGCCTTAAAGTCCAGGCGCATTTCATGACCAGAACTAGAACCCAGTTCTAGTTGTATTCTAGTTTTAGAGCCTGAGCCAACCACATGATCGTGAAATCCCGGGTCAATGTCACACTCTTGCGACGCGTTTTAAAGTCACGTGATCTTTCTCGCGGCAACTGCGAGCTGCCTGGCGTGCCTTCTAACGTGACCTGACCTTCAGCGCGGTCACTACCTCCGACCTAAGGCCATCCCACTGGAGCACATACTCAAGCCGTTTGTTGGTTTAAAAGAGGGTTTTGCCTAATATAAAAGATTATATCTAAGTCATGCAGGGAAATAAGCGCATAAAATGGATATGTGTGCCAGATTGAGCGTGTGCTTTGTCCTCTTTAATATTGATGCACGGTTGGCATATGCAATCCTCGTAATAAACGCAGCCTATTTATGTTCTAAAGACGCCGGTGAGAAGGCGAGCGAGCGATGAGTGTTCATGAAATGCGCGTGGAAAGCTACCAATTCTTTCATATTTAAGGCCAACGCGCCGACTGTTGCCAAGTTCTAGCATGACAACGTTGGAGGCAAATATTACATGTAATTCCTACTCTGTCGCATCGGTTTTACCAGCTTTGTTACCACCATCTTCTTAAAAACTAGGTTTCTGGTTAATGCCACAAAGGGAATAGATTAAGCATAATTACATAAGGCGGAAATTGGCATGGACTGTGTGCTATTGAGCAATTAAGAACAAGGGTTTTCCTTAGCACATTTATCTGCACTGTTACGGACTCTCAACCTGATTGACCTTTTTCGATGACATGGATTGCTAGGAAGTCGATGAGATTCCCCTTCCACCTGTTTCACTTTCTTTTCAACCTCCTGACGTTCTCATTCCTGGTGCGCAAAAGCTGCACACACCAACCCTACAGAGGTGTCCAGGGTCGCCGCCACCAGAGAGGCAAGGGAACACCGTCCCCTTAACATTTGCCAATGTGTTTAATAGGCCGTCTCCCCCTGGCCGTTTTCTTCAGTGTGGAACTCAACGCACAGAAACCGACCGGTGAAGTCGTCCAGACTGTGCGCCTTCTCATAACGCTCTCCGGCGGTTCAGCCACAGCATAACCGAGGATTCAGTGCGCGACAGTGACCGAAATCGCCGGTTCAGCCACAGCATAACCGAGGGTTCAGTGCGCGACAGTGGCCGAAATCGCCGGTTCAGCCAAAGCATAACCGAGAGTTCAGTGCGCAACAGCGTCCGAAATTTCGCTTCGCGGTGCGGATAATTGATTTAATTCGCAAACAATGGTTCTATCAAAGAACGTTTAGCTTCGTTTAGAACTCTACCATATGCGGTAGTAGTGTAGACTTGTATGGAACACGTAAGCTCTGTGATGCACAAACAGTGTTTCGCTGCGGTACGTTTATTGTCCCTGTCTCAAGAAGTCAAATGAACTCTCTGTTAATTGGTTTCGATAAGCAGCCAAAAACGTTTTAAATCTAGCAGGAAAGCAATAGCTCCTAGGGAAATGTTCACGCAAGTGCACACTGCGACGATTTTGCCAATGAACATACAACTATATACGCTTCCATGGCCAACTCGGTTTAGATGATAGCATGCATTGCGCTGAAAAGCAGCCACGATGCTATGAAAAAATGGCTCGGCCGCTGTAAGTAAGTTACATCCTCCCACATTGGCAGCAGAGAGGGAAATAGGCATTTCGATTATGCCGATCTAGTTACCACCCACAAGGCGAATATTGAATTCTCGGAAATTGTATGGGTCTCGAGCCTCTTGGTTTCCGCACCCAATGCCTCAGGGTGGTATTACGCAAGGCACATCACAAACTTGCTTATCAATGATCTTCTAGGAAAATGCTTGTTATTAAACGCTTCAATTTCCACTCGCTTTGTTGTATCCAAGTGTCGTGATGACCTTTCGATCTCGTCACCCAATCAAAAATTGGTGGCGCAGCCCCTGCCTGCCAGTAAATCACCCTACAAGATTAGCGTGCTTCGACAAAGTTTCATTTGGTAGTAGAAATCACATCTGGACTTCAGCCACATGAACGTACTGTGGTTGATCCCACGTATAAAGCCAGTCTCCTTGTTCAACAGAAGTTGATCAAACGTCCACCCGTTACGTCCACTCCTCCCAGGCTTTCTCTATCTTCGGGCGCGAACCAATTGTAGTAAAAAAGCAGCTGTCTTAGGAGGCGGGCAGTCCAAGGATGCTACGATGACAAAACGCCTCGCACCAGGACGCTCAGTTCAGACATAGATACAGTGCGCCTGCCCGCCCGCCTGACCTGGTTATACTCTGCCGCACTGTCCCCGGCCTCCAACGTCCATGAAAGTGCTCATGCCCCCTCCCCCTGATCCTGACACCGAGGACAAGTATAAAAGGTAACGCCGCCGCCAGAAAGGCATCAGACCACTACCGGCCAGCATCCGAGCACCAACGGAAGCACAGGCATGAAGCTGGTGAGTCAGCAGCGCGCCGGTCCTTCCACCCGATTTACTGCTACTGTTGTCACTTACCACCTCTAATTTGACGTATATTTGCTAGCCTATTCATGGTTTGTGGTATATGGCTGCAACTTTGTCTCGTACCAGTGTTTTTATGGTCGATTTGGAGCCAAAAGATGTCAAGCTAGATGTTCTCCTATCTTGAAATTGGTTTTGCGTATCGGTTTATATCTAGTGAGTTTATACGATACCCCTTTGTAACGCAATCATTTCCATGTTTTAGGTTTTATGATCGCTCCATGAGCACATATAGAGAGCCCGGCAACTTACCTGCGTGGTCAAGATGTTATGTTTAACTTGTCCTATGCATCATGCGCGTTATAGGCTATGCAATGGCTATAGGCTATGCAACATACCGGTCTTGTATTGCAGTTTATTTTCGCCGCCGTCCTGGCCGTGGCTGTCGCTGCTCCGTCTGACCTCTCCTACGAGCGTGACATCATCGAGATCCTCAGACAGAACATCGACCACCACGACGATCACTCCTATCAGCAGTCGTAAGTGCACAAGGTGTAGGTTCCCTTTGGATTCACAATGTACAAGGGCTGGCAAGCATTGTTCAAATATTTACATTAAGTGGCAGCCGGCAGGTAGTAGATGGATGGGCAGTGGCACATGACGTCACACATTTTGACATACCTCTCACCTAATATTCAACAACCTCACGAAGAGTCCCAATAAAATCTCACTCCTCTTTGTGAAATATAATTATCCAAAGCGGCACAGTGGCATACATAAGCGAACACATATGACGACACATGTTACATTTCCTCTCAAGAGCGGATGCGTTTGCGGCTCACTGGTATTTGCGTGTCAGATTTTAAACGCGAGGCGAGCTCTCAGAGCCATTGTCAGTTTCAAACGCCATGCATCTAGGCTAAGAGCACCTCCAAAACTATTTCAGTTTCGAGACCGAAAACGGCATCTCGGTGTCGGAGTCTGGCCAGACGGAGGATGATGACAGCTACAGCATGAGCGGCCAGTTCAGCTACGTGGCCCCCGACGGCGTCACCTACACCGTGCTGTACTCGGCCGGCGAGGGCGGCTTCCAGCCGCAGGGAGACCACCTGCCCACCCCCGCGCCCACCGAGTATCCGACCCCCGAGGTGTCCGATGGCGACGATGACGAGGAGACCTACGAGGCTCCTGCTGTAGAGGAGGAGGAGGAGGAGGAGGTCCGTACTGCTTACGAGCCCCAGTATGAGCGCGTCATTGTCGGCTACAGGTCTCGCTACAACTAGTGTCGGTTTTTTGACAGCGATAATCAGCATTTCGCGTCATCTTTGCCTTGGAAATGAGCTATACATATAACTATTGCTTGTGTGTAGCCTGGCATGAGTTTGTGCCCACGTTGTTTATTTAATAATCATTATAGCCCCGCCAGGTTGTCATGCAGCTCTTGGAAATGTATGCGTTCGCTGTAAACATTCTGAGTGTAAATATATATATATATATATATATATATATATATATATATATATATATATATATTTAAATTGCCAACACCAACGCATGGGTGTAGAAGTGTGGCCGGGCGGATGGCCATTAAGTAATATACGAGGTTATCAATCCCGTGGTTTATTAAGCATTTAAAAAGCTGGCCAACAGGCAGCGTCCATTCCGAGAAGTAATAACTAGAGATTAAATTAACCCATAACTCTGCATCCCTCCGTCCGCTGATGTCACGTAAGAAGCAGCTAGCGGATCTTAAAAATGCTATGTATTTGAGCCACGCAGCACATCAATCCTCCTGGCCGTCAATACCGTGCACAGCTCGGTAGCCTGCCCTCCAAGCTACGCGCTCCCTCGCCGTTTTTCCCAGCCCAACACTGCTGTCGTAAAAACGTTTCTTTTTCCGCTGTTCCTCGCCCCTTGCGCCGACTTCGCCGCTTCCGCCGCGCACCAGATGAAGGTTTCCCTTCACATGCCACAAAACGGCATACGTACATCTCGCTATCTGTGTATGGTCTGTGCTGCACGTCACATTGTTGTTTAACATTTCAGTTATATTGGTGTGCATGAAACCATGCGGGCGTCGATCTGCAATATCTGCAGAGCCACAATTTCGAGAAATCAGAGAGGTGCTTCCGTCTCGGGCGGTCACCGGTTATTGACCGGTTGGATTTGTACGAAACTTGAGCGGCAAACGTGAGCAATGAATGTATCATGAAATCTGACGAACATCATGACGCTGTCGCATGCCTTTTCCGCGGTCCCATAAAGGTGGTTTAGACGTGCATCCACACCGGACTATGGTATCAACCGCTGGTGTTGGTATGATTACATTTACTGTCAGATCTTCCAGCTGTACTAAAACACTTCAGAGCCTTTTTGTCAAATTCATTGTTAACTCCACGCTTGCGCGGCAACAACAGCGCCACCTATAATGCTTCTCCCTCTCTGCAGGGAAAACACTCTCAGTAGTGTCATCTGGACGCGAATGCGGTTGGCGATTTAAGTCGAATTTCCTTAATATGATTCCTCCTAAAAATAAAGAAACGAGAGTGCAGATCGCTTAGGCTGAAGCAAAACCGTTTGAGCACGAGCATGGTGTCCACCATCTTGAGCCTGGGCTCAAACAATCACCCAAATGGCAATGGCGCGACTGGTTCACGCCGGACGAAAGGGCAGGAATGCACGATACGTGACGTCATGGTAGAACCGTGTTTGACGTTACGCCCCAGGAGGTTGGGAGACGCAGCGATACCGAACAACGATGTCAAAAGACTGGGTGACGTCATAGACCGAGATGAGTGACATAAAAGGTTAACCGATAGATGTCATCACTTGAGACGAGATTGACTATCTAGATAAGGTGCCCTTTTCATGTCACTCAGCATCACGCCGCCATGTGGGCGGATCACCGGATCCGGGCGCCCGAGTCCGGTTCATGTTCTGGTCGCGCGTCCCACCGTCGGCGTTAAGCCGCTCGCCCTTCCGATTGTTAGGCGATAGTGGTCAAAGTTTCGGCTCGACTGCGGTGAGTTTAAAAGTTAACACAAGAAATGTTGGGACTTTGAAAAGGCGTGTTCAAGATCAGCCAGCAAACACAGGCGTTTTCCATCGGTCGTAGATAATATATTGGTGGGATTGACCAGAAGGCTAACGGAGGCACGACCTGACGTCACAGCATAGCGCCCTCCCATTAGTTGTATGACTGGGCAATGATCCGACTGCCCCGGCCTCAAGACAGCACCAGTCACGGCTGGGGCGAGGAAATGGCATAGGCTCGTCCCAGACGTAGCCTATATCGAGATAGTCGAGAGAGTGCGTTACAGTCTATGAAGAATAGCATTCATTGGCCGCTCACCTTTGATCAATCCTTAAAAAAGATATGATCGGTTACATGAGGCCTAACCTTTAAATTGAATGCAATCTAGCACAACTTCGATTCAAAACTGATAGGTCTAGGAGTGTGACGCAGAAGGTAACTGGATGATCAACCCCGGCACATCTTGGTGGCACTCCGTATGAACGACAGCAGTGCTTGAATCTGTCGCCGGCAACATAAGTACTACTCCATGTTTCATCCTTAACTTCAACATTGGGTGAGCACTATTCACAGGAGCTGATGGCACTTTGCATAAGCTGGTGCTCATTTTCTCGGCGAAACATTACCTATTTTGGTTTTGTTATTGTTTTTGATTGAATTGCTATTTTTTTCGCTGTGAAGAGGATTTACTTTTTCATTCTTAGATAAGAACGTTGCCCGCTCTGTACTTTTTTGTTGCGCTGCATGGACGATTTGGTTTTTAGCATTTCAATCAAAGCGATGCTCTGTTCGTAATCGCTTCCCCTCCCCCCCCCCCCCCCCCCCCAGCTTGACGAAAGAAGCCATGGCTCAACCAACACATGGGCTGGGATATCATTTGAAATTATTGGGGTTTTGTTCGCCGCGCGCCATGTACTCCAAGCTCTCTGCGGCCGGCCGTTTACCGCGAGCGCGTCCGTCTCCGGGATGAGCGGCGTCTCCAGTCCCTCGGATTATGGTCAGTGGGGCACTGGCGCGAGCCAGGCAGGTTACCCACTTTTCTTGGCCGCCGCCACCTGGCAAAATGCCAAAATCTGCACGGACTCGGAACAGCAGGACTGCATTAGGCGAGCTTGGAACTGTAGACTAATGTTGCAGCCTGGAACTACACATAACGTGTTTGACCGCGAGATGGCGCATGGCGGGCAGATTATCTTCTGAATTCCACGATGATGACGTTCAGAAATGTGCGATGTATCACTTCTCCTAACGCATGACCTGATCCTGCTTGGCACATGGTGGCGGCATGCTACAGCATATGTCACTATGCTGACACTGGAGCCCAGGGCAGCAAACGAAGCCGCATTGAAGTATGGGCTATGCTCTTGGTGCGTGGAGCAACGAGCGCACAGCACTACGGGGATGCCGGTTGGGAATGGAGGTGGGGCTTCACAACTGGGCTCTGTCAGCTCCGATAGCTGTCTTTGTCTAGATGAAACGGTCAAGGGCTGACTTCGGTCTTTATTTTGGCGTCTCTGATCCAATTTCGACCTTCTAGTACGCTTTTGATTTTGGTTCAAAACGCTATGGGACGAAGAATTTCATTCTTTTTTTCAATTTGTCCGTGTATTCTAACACCCCGTTTCGTCTGCGTGAGTCTCTTGGTCACTAATAGTGGCCACGCATGTAAACATTGCCACCCTGTGCTTGCGTGCATCCATATTCAAAAACGGGTCCAAGACATCCAGAACGATATATTCAGGCTAACAGCACGGTATAATGCTTTCAGAACAGCAGCTACCTAAGTGTTTCTCGACCATTTAGTTCCACTTACCACTGAGGATAGATGAAATCATAATCCTCCACCAAATCCTCGATATAAATCGTCGACTTGGGTAGCTTTAGCAGTGGGTGCACTAGCTATAAAATTGTAGGCCGGAAGTTAGAAGAAATCAAGGAAAAAAGGACTAAGGGGTCATAATTTCTAAGAATTTAAAGGGTGAAAAACAGTAAGGCGATGGAAGGAGCGTGACACTTTTGATGCTGGGACATGTTAACAGGAACTTACATTACAAGAGTAGGAATGCTGACAAAAAGTTGTACTTAGTTTATGTCAGACCACACCTAGGGTACTGTGCGCAGGCCTGGTCCCTACGCTTCAAAATACGTAGATAGGCTGGAGAGAGTATAACGAAAAGCAGCTAGGATAAAAAATGGAATTGGTAACTTTGAATATAAGGATTGGCTCAATGTCTTTGATCTGTACTCACTAAAATATCGTAGACTTAGAGGGGTATCACAGACTTACAGAGGTACTCAGTATTTTGAAGGGATTAACAAAGTAGATCTACATGCGGTACTAGAAATTAAGCCGCGAGGTAGAGGAAACCAGATTCATTTAACAAAATGTGGGAGCAGAACAATGAAGAGCCAGGTGTCATTCAATCAAAGAGTAGTAAACCATTGGAATAGTTTGACAGGTGAAGTTGTTAGGAGTCCCTCTCCAGCAACATTCAAAAGCTTACAGGTCCTATCGGTCTTAAGATATTATTTACAGCTAGGTTTATGTAGGTCAGGTGATTAGCTTTGAGGATGTGTACTGAACTGAGGTAAGCCAACTTTGATGGGCCCTTGTGGCTCTTAACTGGCCGGGTATTTTCATGTCTTGATGTCCTAATGTCTTTATAAGCCCTCGTATTCTTATGTATTGAGAATATGTTCCGTCAAACAAATGCTAGCACCTGATAAGAGCATCGTAACATTCCCGAACATGGAAAATGAAACAGTACGCCGAAACAAGGCGTGCTTTTACAGATACACACTGTGATCCGGACGTCTTTACCTAAAACGCGCACGGGTGGGGGTCAAATTGACCCCCGAAAGTTTTTCCGGAATGGTTTTCAAGCGGCGCGACGCAGCAGCGTCAAATTTTCCAGAGCTGAAGACAAATGAATAGCGGGTCGTCTGGCACCAACAGTTTAGATGCACCTTGTAAGGTCGTCAGGTATGGAAAACAGGCCAACGTCCAAAACAACCTGTGTTATTGTTCTTTGGTGCTTGCTGTAAGAGGCTGCTTCTGGCGCCCGTTTCAAATTTATTAATAACAAAAACGGCATTAAACACCTTCCATGAACTTCTTAAAGGTCACAATAGGTCACTGATCTAAAATGACTCAGGTCAACATTTTGTTGTCAGGAACATACCGTCTAGCATTATCTTAGCCCATTCTTCAAGTGCAAAACTTAATGCAGTCTTATGTGATTTTGTTTACCATGACCTTCAAAAGGTCAGACAAGGTCACTTACATTAATTGAGCATGTTAACCTTTGCTTAGAACAGTTATCTAGGTTCTAGGGGCCCTTTGAAAACCAATCTGGAACTTCACCTTGTTTAACCCTGGTTGACCCAAAGGTCACGACCTAAGAAACTCAAACTTTGGCCTTATTAAGTCCAGGT